GGGCAGCTCGCTGACCGGTTGCAGCAGCAGCAACAGCAGCACTAGCAGCGCCAGCGGCAGCGGCAGCGGCGTCGGACAGACGCCCGGTTCCCTTGGCTACCCGGCCAGCCCGGCCTGTGCCAGCCTCGTCGGCCCGGCCAGCGGCGGCGGCGGTAGCACCGGCAGCATCGGAGCCGCCAACCTCGTCGGACTGGCCGGACGCTCCAGCGCCTCGCCGTCGCCTCGTCTGCCCATCTGCAGTCCGGCCAGCTTGGCCGGCCCCGGCTCGGCGTCCCCGTTGCCACCGGCTCCGGCTTCAGCCGACTCTACAGTCGCGCCGGCCTCCCAGTTGATCAGGCATTCCATTGCTCGACACACCGGACAGCCCTGCTCCGGCAATCACACGACAGTGGGCGCCGCCGACTGCCTCGGTACCGTGGACCATTTGCGCTCGCTCTCCGCCCTCGGGGCTAAGTACACCCAGCCCAGTCCGCCTCCCGGCCAGACGGCCGAGCAGTTGCATCGTGGCAACTCTGTCTCTCCAGGCAATGGGGCCATGGCAAATCCTCCGCTGGGCAACTTGTTGTCAAGTGAGTCAATATCTTCTGTATCTACTTCTTCTCTTTCTTCTTCCTACCCTCTCGGCATAAGCGTTTACTTTGCAAATCGTTCTGATCGGTGATCCGTCCACATCAATCACGATTACACACTTCACCTGCTCTACCACTGCCATCTAAAAAGTGTCCGTTTGTATGCTCTTATGCTGCATAGTAGACCGCATTTATTTCAGGGTTGATTGTCTTTGATACCGCCGCAGCTTAGAGAGCAGATTTTTTCCTCCCGCCTTCTTCTTCACCCAGTTTCAGCTTTACGTTTTTCTTATTCTTCTTCTTCTTCTTCTTCTTCTACCTCTCCTCTATGGTCACCGCCACCTCCATACTCATTATTATGAGCATCTTCAACACGAAAATGCCGCTGCAGTCTCCGTCGAAGTTGCAAGCACTCGACTCGACGATGACTCTGTTGCGTCATTCCACCAAATTCTACCGTTTGGTAGCTTTTCCTTTCAGAGTTCCGCCTCCACCAAAAATCTGACGGGCACTTCAGACCTCGCTATCGATTTAGCGTCTCCTAGTTCCAGGCGATAAGGGCATTTTGTTTTGCTGCCTGAGCCTGCACCTCTGTCCTCTTTGACCACTTTTTAACTTGCTTCATCCCATCTCCCATCTCTACGTTTTCTTTATCTTGCCTACCAGCCTCTTGTTGCCCTGGTTTCAGGTTATCTTTGCTCGTTCCCTCCAGCCTTGTCTATTCTCACTTTTCTCTTCTACACGCAATTGTCATCTATCCTTAATATATCTTCTTTCATCTCGCTTTTGCAAGTTCTTGTTTCTTTTTCATCACCTTACCACCTAGTCTCAACCAACGCCTCCACTAGTCATAAGTGCCTTCTCACTTAGGGCGTAATCAACAAAAGTACCTATCAGTTATCTGGTGCCCACAAAATCTCACCGTTTTCTGGCCCAAACAGCCGCCACCTCATGTCTCCCTCATACTTCGACACTATGCTTCCCTGCTGTTACTGGCCCCCTTTACTGCCGACCTAAATTCGATACTTTCGTTCTCGTGACGGCGAAACTGTCTTACAATTTGTGCTAACGTTTGACTATTCCTTTTATCTGTGCTTGCGCCTATAACAGTCTGTTTTGTATAGGCAACAGCAGCTTACTGTATTTTACGAACCTGCACCAAAAAAATTAGTGTTTGGTGTCGATTAACAAGGTGGCAAAGTCTTTATTACTCCTTTCCACTCCATGCTACTACTAAAATCATTGCCACTACTACTACTAATACTATAACAACAATTACTACTACTAACTTTGTACTTGACTCGCGTTACCTTGGCCCATGTTCTCTTTCGTCGAGCTTTCTATTTTAGATTACTTTAATGCGCCTCATTCGTTTACTTCTATTTCGTTATGCTTATGGTTGTAGACTCGGACATTTTGCTAAGCAACTGGGGCGCTTTGTTTTTGTTGATTCATTGGCTTCGCGAATATCCTCGTAGCCTCTAGTCTAGTTCGGTCAGTGCCATTCAGTTTGCCATTGTGATCTCGGTTTCACAGCCTTACTTTGATCTTTTCCAATTTTTTCATTCCCCTTGCATTTTCCCGTCCCTCCTTTGAGTCTTGCCTTCCTCCATGGAGACGACAGTTGCATTTTTGTTTGATCTATCACTATGCTCATTTTTCGTGAAAGTAGTGTTACTTTTTAAAATGCAATTCTGATTCATCTGATTCACTTGAGTTGGCTTTGTTTTGTTTATCAATCCTTTGTTGTTGCAATCTTGCCTTCACTCATGACTGGCTATTTCTACTACTAGCAGTGCGACTGGTAAATGTTTAAGGTTTGATTAGTTGAGCGAAGTGGGTCAAAGAGTTATCAGGTGTAGTCCAGTCAGGAGGTTGACGCAGTTTTGTATCAACCGACTGTCTTCTCCCTCATCACTTTAATATGACGAGCCAATTAATTATCAAATGGCCGAGTTTGCTACTCGGCATTCTGCGTTAAGCGATGCACAGAATGAGTTGTAGGGTAACTGACCAATTATACCGCACACAAAATACTGTCAAAAGTACGGTTGGTATGCCCTGTTTCTCCGCTCTAGTTAATATATTTCATCATCCTAGGGCTCGATTATTTTTTATTTATACTAATTTTTCAGTCCACAGAGATGAGATTCCATTCCTCAAGGGCCCATCTATCATTGACCTAGAAACAAAATCCATTTTTACCGTTTTCATTTTAAGTGGATTATTTTGCAACAAAAATGCATTATTCCAACTTGTTCTTGAGCAATTCACATATATTTCGTTACGTCTCCCAGCTGAAATGGCCTTTCACACAAATTGGCTACCGGACTAGACCTTATATTGATCGATTGGTTGATTGGGCAAAATAATGGAATACTTATTTCCCTGAGCCAAATTGGATGCTTTACTCTGCACCGATTGGTCTTTCGATTTACCCATTTTGCCCGCCACTGTTTCATGTTCCATTGCTTCCATCACATCTTTCCAACTTCTAGACTTATGCATCCACAATAGCTGCATCACTCTAAGCTTCATTTAAGGGCGCCAATATTGTACTCTTCCCATTTCACCACCGACGGTGACACTTTACTAGCTCTAGTCTTAGTTCGGTCAGATAAAAACTGACACATTTAGTTCCGTCTCTTTTGGGTGCTATAACCCACTTTTCATTCAACAGCTGCCTTCCAACAATTACTTTATGCTCCATTCATTTTTTATTGCTTTCCATTCCAACTATTCTATTTTCTATATTTTCTATAAATCCAT